GACAGAGAGGACGAGCGCGGGTCCGGGAGGAGGTTCACTTCCTGCTCTGGGCGCCGGGGCCGGGGGTGGTTGTGAACAAAGAGGGGCCTTGAGCCCCGAGGGAGGCGGGCATCACCCGGCCCGGGGCTGGGCCAGGGCCCTGAGCAGCCGGAGCCCCTGGGTCCTGGGGTGGGTGCCCGGCCCTCAGCCCTTTAGTTCCCACCGGTTCCTGCGGGGGCAGAGCCGCTGAGGGGACGGGGCTGTGGGGCCCATGTCAGGACCTCACTCTCTGGTGGCCTCTGAGGTCGTGGTGCCCGTGGGGCCGTCGGCCCCTCTCCGTGCCCTGGGCTCCGGGGACACTCAGCCCAGAGTCCTAAGTCCAGGTCAAGGGTCAGATGAGTGGCAGCTGATCTTGGCAGCCAGTGGAATTCTGAGTGACAGGTCCTTCCGTGCATGGGCTCCAGAATGTGCAAAAGCTTGGAGTGAAGACTCAGCTGATTCAGGGACAAGCAGGGGTCCATTTTGTGAAAATAGGCACTGGATACAGTGGGACAGGAACCAAGTCCAGAGGAGCTTTGTGAGCACTTGGGTTTCTGTTCTGCTGGTGATGGGGTCATTGGGGTCATGGGAGCAGTAGAGCAGGTGACCTGTCCCAGGTCTCATTAGACTCCCTGTGGCTGCAGCATGATGCACAGGATGGGTGTGAGGACGGTGGTAGGAAGCCCAGGATGGAGGCTGCTGTGTTAGTGCTGGTGAGTGTGAGGGTACCTGGAGCACAGTGGTGGTTGTGGGTGTGGAAGAATCAGTTGCATTTTGTTTCACTGATTTAGCTGTCACCACTTGGATTATCTGATTTTGAGGATTAGAGAGAGGGGTGAGAATCAGAGATGATTTAAATGTTTGGATTTAGTACCTGAAGATATGAAAGCACCATCGCTGAGATGTAGAAATTCATCGTGGAAAAATTCATGAGGAATATAAAATATTTTATTTTTTCCTCTTAGGGTATGATACATTTCAGAGACCAGTTCATGACCATCTGGAACTCTGAGGAGTAGTTCACGATGACGACTACTTAAAAAAATAACCATCTGGTCCAGGGAGGAGTTGAAGGTCACCTATTTTTATTGGAGGTGGAAGAGTAATTCAAAAAAGGTTAGACTGTGGCGGGTGCATATTTACTTCTTACACACTCACCTGGATTTCTTGTGAGCGTTTGTGTGGCTTGGTTTGTTGCATCTAGTTTAGTTGATTTGTTTATGGGCATGAGTGGGCATCTGTGAGACACACGGGGCGTGGGGTAGAGGGCCATAGGCTGTGAGTGTAGCAGGGACATCAAGTGCAGCAGCAGTAGAGGTGGGCTCTGGGTAACTGAGATCTGATGCAGTTCTCAATAGGTGAGGTGGAAGGGGAAAACAAGTTGGGAGGGAGGCCTTCATAGCAGAACTGAAGGCTGGGTCTTGGGTGTGGACAATGAGGGTCAGGTTAGTACTTCATACTGTTGGAAGTTGCCTTGCAGTCTCTGGAACACATATGCTGAGTAATGACTAAGACCAAGGAGATGTCTATGGGAGCTGGGGCTATGGGAGTGTAGGTGTCAGAGAGGTGTGGGAGGAGTGATGTGCTTTTGGAGAGGGAGTGTGAATTTATGGCCATAGATTCCTGATATTGACAAAGAGGTAATGAAGGTTGAGCCCATTTCTGGTGATAACTGGATGATACAACGTGGTGAATTTTAGAGTAATTCCAGAAAAGACGGGTGTTGTGGCGCTACATGCCAGTTCCATAATTTAGGTGTCATATAGGTGCACACCTGCCTGTTGTTGTTGGGCTGATACAGTGATCAGTTGGAATGGGATAGCAGACATCAGTGTCACCTGGGCTTGAAAATCTCTACTGACTTGGGGAATGGAGAAGGGTAAGAGATAAATACATCCAGAGGGGGTGAGTTAGAATGTTGAAATGAAGGTGATTAGAAAATATCCCCTCCTCTTCATGGCATATATGTGTTGTCTTGGAAGTAGTGACTCGGAATGAAGCTGTAGGAGAGAAGTGGGATAGGAAGAATTACGTGGAACCGGTAGCGCCAAGTGTTGACCTCAGCACCCTAGGC